AACAGTATGGAGAATATGCATATCAATACTAGGTTGTAAATGGTTAACATTAAACAGTTATGTACTCATGCATAATTACCTGGACTTGAGCTCGATTCTGCCCTTGGGAGGCAGCATCTGAATAGGGCGCAGTCACTGCCTCAGCTGGGTTGGATCCTAAGGGAACAGCCCAGTAATGAGGCTGCTGAAAGGCTACCCCAGGTTGTGCAATCACCCCAGGCTGTGAAATGAACAGAATAATCTCCTTTTTAGACATAGAATATATTAACTGACTTCAGATTACATGGCATAAAATAATTTATCCATTTTGTCACATGCACAGGGCAAAAAAAAATTGAGTACCACAACTCAACTATAGTAAATTTTTGCCCCACAATCATGCACAATCTTTGGTGCTGCAGTAACATCCAAATGAGATTTCTTAAACCCAAGACTGTATCAATTGATGGATAACTTTACATAAAGTAAATTTTCAATTGTAAACACTGCACTGCACGGAAAAGTGGTTTGTTTTTTAACAAAAAAAAAAACAAACAAACAAAAAAACACTGAAAACACAAAAATAAACTGAATCATTCTATGATTATAGTACTCCCCTTCAATCTTCCATTATTTCAAACGTTTTTGTTTGTCCTTGGATTGTATCATAAATCATTACATAAGTTAAATCAGTTCTATAGTTACCTGCTGGGCTATATACACAGGTTGCTGGCCCATTGCTGGGTATCCCTGTGGCACCACACCAGCATCAGTCTGCATTAAAACCACACCAGGCTGTGCCCCTGGGTACATGTGCTGAGGCTGTATACACATCAGTTGCTGGTTGGTCCTTGTCTATAGTCACAGTAATGAAACATCAGTTACATTAAATATAAAAATCATTAATTTATAAAAAAAATTGATTGTTTCTCATTTCACCAAGTAAAGTCAAAAGAATGCTCAAAACTATACAAGTAGGTTTACAACAGAGCTACTGTGGAAAGGAAAAAAGACAAGAAGAGTGACAGCATTTCAGAGACTTCACGCGTTTTTCACGACTGCTGAAATGTAAAGCTACACACTATATAAATATATATATATATATAAAAAGATTTTCAGCACAACTTAGGGAAAATATACATTTACAATACATGGAAGTTGGTCTTTTCTTCTATAAAAACAGTAAGATACTCTTCTACAAGAACAGCTCTAATCAACTTAAAAATGAAGACTTTCATAGCATTGGACACAAGGTTTAAAAATTGGAAATATCAGTGGATATTCCCAAGTTTTATTGGCCATAAAATATATATTTCTGAATCAGTAAAATGATATGTTAACTTTTAACATTAACAACTGAATGGTTGAGGTGATAATTACTTACATTACTCACAACTGCTGGTGAGGTACCACAACACACTGCCGTACAACAATAGATGGATGATGCAAGGGCCAAGAAGAACTCACCCAAGGAGATAAGAAGAAGACATGAACCTAAACCAGCCACATTTACTGCTGTATCTCTGTGGAAGCCATAATGCTGATAGCAATCATGGTAGGTATAGGAACCATCATATCTCTTGCTATAGTAAGAGTTTGAACAGTATGCCTTCATATCGGAGTAGCTTGCAAGAGTAATGCAATAGCAGATGAACATTGCTCCTGAGAGGACACAACTTGAAATGGAGAAGCCCATAAAACATCCAATCTGATGATAAAAAACACAGGACACAATTCAAACACATGACTTTATCTACTGCATTTATACAATTTAAAGCCTAACCTCATATATGCACCTGCACTGTGGGTAAAAAAAGTTGATAGACTGGTGAGCACCCAGTCTTGATTATCATCTCATGCAGAAACCTTTATGTTGATGGTTTGAATGTTTATGGTTAAAAAAAGTTTTTAAACTGTTTAGTCATAAACTGATTTGAAAATCCCAAATTATACAGGATAACTATTACGTGCATGTTTGTAAATATAACGGTATAACCAATGCATAATATGAATTTGCTGTTTAAGTTGTTTTACTTGTTTTCTTGGTACTTTTTTTCTTCTTCCATTATTTTTGATAAATTTATGAAATGAATGTCAGTCATTATAGATACCTAAGATTACACTTGAGAAAAATTTGACTGCAGTGGGGTTTTCCATCCCATTTTTCTCTTTACAAGAGAAAAGGGATACCAATGTGTAGGATTGTTTTGAGAAAATGGCCAGAAAAAAATAATTACAGGTTTCTTTAAATGGTCAAGTTACTCACCAAACAATTGTTTGGGATTGAGTCATCTCTTGCTCCTATGTATCCCAAAATCCCAGTGATTAAAACCTATAAATAATACATACAAGTGGAATGATCTTTTGAATGCAGTAAAATAACTCTCCCTGTGGATTTACTGTAATAACATGTATATTCTTAAAGTCCGAAAGACAAATTTGTTTTTATTTTGCTGGCCATAAATATTGGACTCAGTTCAGACAGGACTGGTTAATAAAGCTTCACCAACTAAAGTGGAGATGGAGTCCATGTTGTCTGATTTGGTGCCAATAGTTCCCTTAGATGATCGAGTGAGGGTTACTAATATGAACTGTGGATCAGCAGGCTGTGGAACCTCTAGAACTCCACATGTATCATGGGCAATCAATGATGTTCTTTTAAGCTCATGTTCCTCATTCCAACATTATGTACAATGCAATGGAATTAAAGGCCACCAATTCCAGCCTAGAGGTTTGCTGAGAGCCTTCAGATGAGGCGTCACTACGATATCGTATTACCCAAACCATTAGAGCGTAAAATTTATGGTTCAAACTCGCTTCACTTCAGTGCAAAAATCACGCAACAAAATGTCAAATTCAGGGAATATAGACCAGCTGCCCCAAAAATAATAACCTCCTTCACATGAAAGCGAAATTCCATAGTTTCGAAAGTCCCCACGTGTCTCTCGCGACGATTTCGAATTCCAGTAGGAACTGAAATCAACAATTTGGGAAGATTTAGGGTGACTTTATCAAAGCTTATTACAGGCAAATCAAAAGACAAAAGTGAAAAACAGAGACTGAATGCTTTATCAATACAATCGAGAAACGGTCATGCACATTTGTACGCACGACATGCGGAAGCAACAGACCAAACTTACCCAAAGGCCAACCCAGACGCCAAAACCAAAGTAGGAACTCCAGTGTTGAGCGGAGATAATACATGCTACTCCAAACACGATCATTACAGCCCCAACTACCATCTGTGAGTTGGCCAACCCTCGCAAAGTAGTCGCTCTGTACACCATGACTACAATCGAAATGGCGACTAAGTGAAAATAACAAGGAAGTAAAACAATGACGTCATATCAGATGGCACCGGGTGTTCTGCGCCCCATCATACTCAAAGCAAGCAAGATTTGTAAACTTAGGTCATATAATCTGAATTACGAGAACGTCACGCGCTAAATTAAACTATTTATCCAGTCAAAGAAATAAATGTCATTGAATTGACCTCCTCGTCAGTTTTATTTTATA